ATGCATCACAAATTGATACCAGATAGATGTGTTTATGCACACATACACTAGATGCATGACATATACACTAGAAACATCTTCTTCTTTTTAAAATTAAAGAAGTGTTGTTGCCAATTTATGTCACAACCCAAAGTATACCTTAGGTGTAACATGGCGTACAAAATTCTGAGAGGCCATACACAAGCCAATTAGCATACATCATACACGATAATAGAAACAAAGATTTCAAAGAAACAGTTTAATATCATAAAAGAGTTTTGACAAAGAGAAAGTCTAACACCATTCTCAATAAGGCATCTACTACATCAAAATTAAGGGAAAGTGATTGGGACGTAACTCATACATCACATATAAAGTCTGAAAACTCAAGTAAATAAAGCAATAAGGGTGTCTCGGTCCTCGGAAGATGAGGACTCATCAATTCTTGAGTGCCAAAAGATCAACTAGCCATGAGTGTGAGAGGTAGGAACGTCAGACTCTACATCAGTGAAATAATGTAGGCACAAGTATGCATTAGTACATGGAATGTACTAAGTATGATGGCAATGCATAAGATTTATGAAATCATGCTAAAAGGACTTTACGAAACATGCAATGACCAAGTTAAATCATAAGATAAAAGGGTTAGAAAACATTAGTCATGATCATGGTCAATGCAAGCTAAACATCTTTAAAACATCTGTGAGATACTTTAGAAAGTAACATAGTTTATTATTATGGAAAGTTTACCATATAACCACAAAGACCATGTGAGCTATAATATAAAATATGTTGTCTATCCCACACCAATAAGAACCATACATTTGAGCTAAAGAGGATCCACTAGGTAATCTCTACTAAAAGGAGAGATTTCATCGTTATATCCTATCAGTGCTAAGTATAAATCCAATGGAATAATCATTAATCATATTCATCTTATTATCCATGAAAAAGTACAATTAAGCAATCAATCCAACCTAGAGTTCGTTTAGACTAGCTCATTAAACTTGATTCAACTTAGGTGAGAAAATATTTCAACCCTTATGAATCCTTTTTGTGAGAAAACCTTTTATAACAACTACATTGATATTTTACTCTCAAAGCATCTTCAAATCATGTACATCCATTTCATCAAAAGCATGTGTATCTTCATAAATTCATCTTTCATAATTTATAAGCTTAATCATGTGTTCATAGTCTAAAACTCATGGATCATGTATAGATTCATATGAATTCAACTAAAAAATATGTAATCACTTCAATTCATGCATACATAGGTAGAAAACAATCAATTTGATCATAATTGAAAAGAACCCATGAAGAATGAATAAAATTCTAACTTGAATTGAGAATTTATCTTTACAAAATTGGAGATTTTTGGAATCCAATGGAGGAAAGGACTTCATAGGTGAATACTAACGTACCTTGGAGTTCAGAGTCCTATTGCTATGGTGAATTTGAGATCTTGGTGCTTGAAACCCTAGATTGTTCTTCCTTGAGTTTGAGGGAATTTGAAGGGGATGAGTTTGAGGGAATTTGAAGGGGATGAGCTTGGAGGGAATTTAGGGATTTAGGTGAATGATTGTAAGGGGATATTAATGGGGCTTAAGATTAGGACCAGAACGGCTCAGTTTAGGCTTGAAGAAATTAGGAAATGACTCAAAATCCCTTGAAAAAATAAATGTCAAAGCCCTTCTACAGTTTGGACATACAGTCCACCGTAGAAATGATCAGAGACCCTAAATTTTTTACCAACTTTTGATGGACACAATCTACGACTCGTAGGTCTATCTACGGACTGTAGACACCAACCGTAAAAATCAACATTTGGCCTTAGAATTTTACTAAACTGGAAGCTACATATGAGACATATCTACGACTTGTAGATCAGTTGACAGACCGTACTAGTGAACTGTAAAAGAGGTATTGGGACTTGATTTTTAGAAATTTATTTTTCCCCTTTCTATGGATGTGATCTACAACCCGTAGAAGCTTATATGGTTCGTAGATTGGGCTCGTAGAACCAGACTGTCATCCAAAGATTCTTTTCTTTCTTTTTCCAAATCCGAGGTGTTACAATTTATTCAACAAAAAATCAATCAATATTTACCAACCAATCCCAATCTAATGACCCGACCCAAAATGAGAAAAAAGGAAATAGAATAAATCAACGTAATAAAAGCCAAATTAAATTTGAACCGAACACCGAAAAAATGCCCTTTCAGCTTCATCTGAAATTTACTCGCTTGAAAAAGTTGTCCATGGCGATCTCGAAGAAGAGAAAAGACATTAAAATTCAATCAAAGAAATTGAAAAGGCTTGGATAGAATCCACCTTAGACGTTTCAAACTCTCAAAATGCCATCAATTTTGGTTAACTGCTTCCACAAACACCCAACTTGCCTATAGATATTATGTAATAAACGAATCAGAATCTGCAAGATATGGATATGAAACTAGATATGCTCGAATCGGACCGCATCTCGATTTGCACATGAATAACCTGTTGTATTACCCTAAAGAGTCATACTCATATCCAGGGAATTTTGTCCATGAAAGAGCGTTATCAGTCTTAGCTCGCATAACTCGATCATGACCTTAGGCGGAATTAGTCTTGGCCGGAAGAATGAAAGATACCGACAAGCACAAAGCAACCGTCAAAAGGGGTTTCGTCCGATGAAAAAGAAAATTTCAACTCAAACTTTGTGTTTGGTAAGTTTTTTTTTAGATCATAGTATACCTAATCACAAATATGAAGAAATTGAACCTTAAGTCGATTTCTCTATCAATAATAAATCATCTTCAATATTTCTTTCCTACAGATTGAGTTTTCACTGATACCACTATATAGGAGTAGATGTCAAGGATGGTCAATCTCGAAAAAGAAATCTACACTGAGACAAAGGTAAGTTTCTAGTAAAGCTTATGATTACTAGCTAGATGAATTAATTTGTTTCCCTAAAATACCTATTTTGAAATCTTCTAATTCGTAGATTAGGAATTTGGGCCTTCTCTATTCGAATATAGCTTTAGCTTCTATTGATAGATCTTGTTTGAATTATATATGATGTGATTAGTACCTACAAAATAGAAAGCTTGATTAGTTATAAAATCAGCAAGTAGATTGCCTTCCTTGAATATGTGTTCCACTATTAATGAATCAGCTAATTAATTATAACATTATATGTTCTATCCTTTGTACTTCAACAATTATCACCCAAGGTACCTTGCCATTAAGAACCTTTGTTAGGCTTAAAGAATCATTTTGCTAAATCAAGATTTTGGAATGTTGTTTAACCACGTTTAACTCTTGACAAACAACACAATATTTTTGTTAAGCTCCATCACAACTTTTCAGTAAGACTTCTTTCCTACATTTATCAATTAGTGATCCCTCTTCCCATTCTACAACTTGAGGTCTAAGCCTTTTGCAGTATTTATTCTACGTAAGCTTGGTCCACATACACTTCTTGGTCCTAAATACATCAGCGCCCTCTTAGAACCAGATTGCAACTATGCACAAATACACTAGATACATCAATACACTTTTTATATGTATATATGAAATTGATATTGAATATACTATATGAAGTTGTATTACATTGAATTACTATCTATACTAGCAGACTTTGTGTTGTTTGCTCATAATTTTAACTACGGGGATAAAAAGAGGATACAGTTAAACTTTTTATCCAAAGTATTGTAACACGTAGAATTTACTCATCCACACTAAAATAACAACAATATATCCAACGCAATTCCAAAAGTAGAATCCAGAAAAATAGAATATATCACCTACCTACCGTTATGAAATAGAAATACTTATTTTCAATAGGTCTTCGACTCAAGCTCAAAAAGAAAAGAAGTATAATAATTTTGTAAATGACAAGAAAGCAAATAGAGTAATGAACCAATAAATGCAAAATATTTTGTAAAGTAAAATAGTAAATTTTAAATCTCTCCTCAAACCCAATTCAAGCCAACCGTTGGGTACGATAGGTCACCTATGTTGGCCATTGGAAAAACAGTCCACAAAACCACCAAACTCTAAAAAGGAAAAGGTAAAAAGTGGTCTAACAGGACCACTACAAAGCATTTCTCACTTCTTTTTTCAAATCCAAAGTCCTTTAATAACTAACTTTATTGTTGCATTATTTATAACTCGTGCACATCCTTCACTGATTCCACTTTATTCAATGTCAAAATTTCTAATTTTTTTACTAACTTCAAGGGGTAAAAAAAAGGTAAAAAGAGTACTAAAAGAAAAGCTCTCTCTTTCTAATGCACACATTCAAAAAAAGTCACTGCTCCCTAAAGATTCCTGAACCGTTCACTCTTTTGTCATTATGTGTTGTTTTCACATACAACTTTTTACGTTACATCTATGTTTGTCTTCAATAAAAAAATATTGAAGATACTCTTAATCTCGAATATTGATAGTCTTAAAAATATCATTTGACTTGATTAATTAAATTCGCATACACTCTGATCTTTTAACATGGGTGAAATAAGCCGTTGAATTTTAGTCAAGTTTTATTAAGAGCTCTATTCTAACACAAGAATTTAAAATCACTTGTTATGTCATGTGGCAGATCGAGGGTGAATATAAGTTTAATTAGTCAAGTCAAGGAGAGAGATCAATAGATGAAGAACAAAACTAATAATATACATCAAGTTCACGAGTGTTGCCAATGCTCAAAAACTAAAATAAAACAACATGATGGTACAACTACTTATGCACTATTGTACAACATGCAGAATATGAAAGAGAGAGAACATGGACAGTCACGTGGGTGTTGGTGAAATGGGACCCACAAACCATGACAAAATAAATTACTTATATTGATTAGTAGGACCCACATTCAAGTGTCAGCACTATCCCATGTGATGGTCTGTCTGTATGTTGACCCCCCCACCCTCATAAATAAAATAAAGAAAGAGAAAAGGACAACTGCAATAAAAAGACAAATTCCTAAAAAGAGAGATAATAAAAAGCAAATCACATTAAGAAAAAGACACCAATTAAAGCTACTAAATTATGAAACTTCCTCCATTTTCCTCCTCCTTTTTTCTGTCTGTTTACATCTTTGATTGATACACTATTTAATATTCTTATAATAAAATTACAACAAAGAGTTGAAAAAAAAAAAAAGGAAAATTACAAAAGATAGCAAGCTAATATATGGTAAAAAGACGCTTACTAATATAATGTCTACATGCTAAAAAGCATACAATAAAAAAGTTACAAACAAAAGAGCTTCCCCTTTGCCTTTGCCTTTGCCTTGTACTAATATGAGTATTTTGAAATTACATATATTTCAACTTGAAATCTTGATTTACTCTTCTGCCTTGTGCTTCATCATCTTCATCTTCTATACAAGTGATTACAACAACACAAAAGAAAATTACAACTAGTTAACCTTTAGGATGTCTTAAGTACACAAGTGGACACCCAATAATTGCTTAGGTAAAGGAGGAAGGAGATTACAAGTGATACTTTGGATTTTACTTATTTGTACCTATGGCTAATTATCCTTTTTCTTTAACATGTGAATCCAGCCTCAACTAAAGGAGAGATATGGGAAAAAGACACTGAAAATACATTTTACAACATGGCTGTCACACATCATTCTTCTTCTTTTTTATGTATTTATGCATATTTTGTATAATAGTAGTAGTAGTAGTAGTAAGTAGGGTATGTGTTTTCCTGGCTGATGCTGGCTTGCTTCTTGAGAGTAGTATTTTTTTGTTTTGGGGTTTGGTTACGGTCGTCATCGTTCTTTCTTTCCTTCCTGTGGAAAAACAAGAAAAGGCCAAAAAAAAACATGTAACCAACATCATCAATAAAAGTAACAAGTAGAGTACCAAGATGTTTTGTGTCTAAGGGAAAGAAGATTTATTAAATGAGCCAAGAAAATGTGACAACTTACCTAAACTAAGGAAGCTAAACTACGTAACATAACAAGCTGTCCAGGCCTACATTCCAATGGTGCCATGTCCGGAAGGGAACCTGCATTAATCACCATTATTGGAATATGATTAGAATAATCATACACGTAACGAATATGGAAAACAGTCAAAAATACCCCTAAACGACAATAAATGTTGTTATTATCGTTTAGATTGGTCGTATCGTTGCCCGACCGTTACCGTTGAATTATTTTGACGCGTGAAAACCACGCGATCTATGTTTGGAGTTCAATTAATGTAGAGGGGTAAATTTGAACATTTTCTATAAAAGAACACGTAAATAACTAAGACATGGGAGTAGGAAAATCGAGTGGTGAAATGCACCTAGGCACTTGGAAGTAACATGATTTGAAAGGAGTCATGTCTAGAGTACTAGTAGCAGGTAACAAGGAGGAAGAAGGGATCATATTATTGTTAGCAGAGGATGATGCATTTAATCCAGCACCTTTGTCAACATCTCCAGCAGCTTCATTTGAGAAAGTTGTGATAAAGTCTCCAACTGCTTTAGGTGATGCAAATGGACTATCTGGGAGATTATGCTCCAAGCTGCTGCATTTAAGTCATGTTGTCAAATTTTACTTGAATCAAGAACCAGACAAGTCAGTAATGCAGTAGTTACTCAAATTGAGTTATTACCAAATGCATCAAGATTGACTTTGGTTTAACAGAGACATGTATCCAAAAGTAAAAAACTATACTAGCTTTGGCAAATTTACAATAGTTACCTTTCTTGAAAATCACTTGCTTCCTTCTTGGAACTTTCTTTGCCATTGCTATTTTCATCTTTACCTGTGAAGCATTCTCTCTCCTTGGCAGTGAGATTTCCATTCTTTTGCTCAGCAGCAGTAAAAGCAGCAAAATTGGCCATTTTTGGTGCAAAACCATTCTCTGCAACAAAACAAACACCAAATATCAACATCTTCATTCTGAACTTCTAGCCTAAAACCTCATTTCCATTAATTATTCAACCAACCATGCTACCATTTCAATTGAGTGCAAAATCTATCTGTACTCATTCCACTCTATTGAAGCAAAACTCAAGATATACCTTCTCGGCTGCCAAAGTCTGTGGAGCGAACCATATTTTGATTGAAGAAGCCTGGAGAGTGAGGTGGGGATGGGATAACAGCACTCATGGAAAGGGCGCGATGATGGTTGCTCCTTTTGACATCAAGAAGCTGTAAATTCAGCAATCTCCTGCTTTGGAGCTCAATTGCCTGTTGCAGATCAGCTTGTTCTTCCAATTTTCTCCTCCACAATGCATCTTGAGTATTGTAAAACATTCTTGCACCTAGTCCATCACAATAAGAAAAGTAGCATTTAAAATTTGAAACTTTTGGGGAGCCATCATCACATTCAAGAGATATTTAAAAAAAAGTATCAGAAATCAATCTGAAATGTTGTTACTTACCAAGCTGAAGATCATAAGGATCACTGGACTCAAGACCAGTAGGACTACCACATCCAGTGAATTCTCCCCTCTCCATCTGCTGTTGGTGTTGTTTCCTGCAATTTCAACCCCAACATCAAAATTAATCAATATAAAGAATAAAAACATCATAAGAAGTAAGTACTTGTAATAAAAGGATTAATACCTAAACTTCTCTGGGACTTTGCCCTTCTCTTTGTAAGGCTTGACAAGCACCCTAGCATCACATACAAAATGAGGATTTCCTTTGGCAAGAATGGTCTTCACAGTCTCTGGATAAACAAATGTAACAAAACCAAACATCCTCTTTTGCTGATATGGAATCCTCACATCTTGAACAGGCCCATAAGTGCTAGAAAAATCAAGAATAACAAGATTTAAGAAACCAAAATGAGGGGGCCAACCTTAATACATTGAATTTTTCAAACCAATAATACCTGAAATAATTGGAAACATCCTCTTCTTTGAAAGTACTATCAGCAGGAAATGTCAAGTAAATTTGCCTTGAACCTGGATTTGCTATTCCAGCTCCACCATTCAGTCCAAAATCCCCTCTTTCAAAACGACTTCTGCTCAACTTATGCATGTCATCACCCATCATCAATGCTGCAGCTGCTCTGTAGAAATATCACATCAAGAATCAGTCCAAAGTTCCAATTTTTTTAAACACCATAAAGGCAGTAACAAAAGAAAGAGGGGGGGGGGGGGGGGGGGGGGGTTCAAACCTGGGACTCTCAGCAGACTGCAACTGTTGCTGCTGAAGAAAGTTGATGCATTTGTTAGCAGCCATGGGAGAGAGAGGGAAGTTAGAAGAAGCCATGAGCTGAGAAGCTGTGGCTAGTCTTTGCTGGTGAGCTGACTTAGATCTGAGAAGTTCTTGGCAATGTTCCATCATCTCAAACTTGCTTGGTGACCCAACCTCGCCCTCACCAGGCCCAGCACCATGAAGGAACCTACAGCTACTTCCATTCTTGCAATACCCTCTAGCAAAATAGAGACAAGGTTTCCAGCCAAGTCCTCCACTTGGGTCATCAGCCCCCAAACATATATCACTCACAGAGCAGCTCCTTCTATGAGAGAGCCCGTTGACTGAGCTGCAGCCACCACCACCCCAGTTATATGAAGAGAAAAGCATGGAATCCCCACTTGGACTTGAGGCTAAATCTTGCTGTTGCTGCTGTTGTTGGTAATAAACATCAGGATTCTTAGGCCCCAAGGTTGGTGACCCATCATTCAAGAAAGAAAGTTGGTCCTGTAGTTGAAACTCATCTATCAAATCTACTTCTCCATTGCAATAAAAGGGAGGAGCAGAGGAATTCATGGTGGAATTGTTCATTCCATTAGTACTAGCAGCAGTATATGAGATGTTGGAAGCACTAGGACTAACTAGATCAGCTTCTTGGAACTCAGAGAAACTAGGACTAGTACTCCAAGAAGCAGAAACAGTTGAAGAGTGGTTGTTGTTACTAGTTATGCTAAGAGGTGAAGGAAGGTTTAAACCACCAAGAATCCTACCAGAAGTAGCTGAAGAAGAAGAATTCTGCCTCGAAAAAACACACTGAACCACCAAAAGGTGAAGGTGAAGAAGGAGTTGAAGGTGTAGAAGGTGAGTTTGAAGAAACACCAAGTTCTTTTCTTGCTTTAAGAATCACTGAGTGAACTAAAGCTTCTGGACCAAAAGCCAATCTAATCATTTCTTTCTCACCATGGTCTTGTATCAGAAGAATCCCCATAATTTTTGAGGCATTTTCAGGATCCAAACTTTGAATCCTTTGGTAAACAATTTTTGTAGCTTCATATGCATCCATAACTTCCTCTCTTCTTTGGGTTGGTAGTAGATTCAAACTCCAACCCTTAAAACTTCCTTTTTGTCTTTCCTAAAGTACAGACTGTCAAGAGAAAAAAAAAATCCTTTCTTTTCCACTACCAACTAGCAAAACACCAGCTGTTTCTTAACAAGATTCAAGTTACTCCTTTCTCTTACTCTTCCTGCATAAAAACAACCAGGAAAGTAAGTGAAAAACTCTTAAAAGTAGAAATCTCCCGTGGGGGGTTGAACAGATTCTTAATTGAAAGGAAAAAAAAAAAGTAGTTGTATTTCTCTATAAAGAAAGTTGAAAGCTTTAGTTACAACAACAAACCACAGATGAGCAAAAAAAAGAACAAATAACTAATTTTACTAAATTGAAACATAAAGATTAGAGCTTTACCCATAAAAGATGACTCTCTTTTCTACTAGAAAATCTTTCACTTCCTCTTTTTTTCCACTTTGATCAATTTTTCCCTACATGGGTTTGTTAACACACTGCAAAAGAAAATAACTTAAACCACCGCCCTCTCTATTTCTATGCAGCCTGCAAGAAGCAGCAGTACTAGCAGCAGCACCAGCTTGACAGCAACAGAAACAGCAAACCCATAAATATTTAATACCTAGTAACACCACTAAATTTCAAACACAACCCCCTCCCTCACCTCACCTCTACCCCCACCCACCCCCACTTCAAAACAAGTTTTGTTTTTTGGGGGGTTAGTGTGAGTAAAAGCTAAAATCTTTTTTCTCTTTCTTTCAAGAAAAGATTAAATTAATAAAAAAAATGAGAGTGAGTGAAGTGGATCCAGATCTAATTTGAATTGGTGCACGTTCCTCTCTTTGTAATTTTTAGTTTAGCCTTATTTCTGACACACTGACTGTGAGCTAGCCCTCCATTTTTCCTCTACTACTAATTCTTTTTTTTTTTAATCATAATAATTGCTGCAAACGAGGGTAAGTGAAATTATCCCCCAATCGCGGTTTTGAAGCGAGTGGAGTACACGCTCTCATTACAGATTTGGGACCCACTCTGGATTTTCCATTATTGAGTAGTCTTCCATTATCATTTATTTCCTTTCGTACCTATTTCGTATTAATCAGACTCACTCCGTTCATTTTTATTTGTCATGTTTTTAAAAAGTTAATTTATTAAATTTTAAAATTAAATTAAATTACATTAATTTGATATTTTTAAAAATAAATTTAGATATTTAAAAATTATGCAAAAAGTACTATAAATTACAATTTTTTACATATCAATATCGTAAAATATTAGTCAAAATTTTTATAGTTGGATTCTAAAAAAAATGACAATTAAAAGTGGACGGAGATAGTATTTACTATGCTAAATTAGGAGTATACGAAAATGGGATCGACCGATAAATTGAATCAAAAAATGTTTTTGTTTATTATTATTGGTTATTAGGTTAATGGATTTTTATTACTTTTTTTAAAAAAAAATTATTGGATTATCGATTCGATTTTGATTTTTTAATATTGAATTATCGGATGATTAATAACTCATGAAAATCGTAGTAATGTACTATTTTATATCTATATAAATATTAATTGTTAGTCTTATTGGTGACTTTGTTCTTCAACCTTCAATTTACACTTCACGTTGTACAAAATATCAAAACTTAAAGTATGAACCTTATTTCTCTTAATTTCTTTTTGTGTTGCATTTGTATGGTGTTTTTCATGTTAGTTGTTATTGTTTTTTATTTTATGAGAGTTTTGTATAGTTACATTATTGTCTTGTTGTGTTAAATTATCGGAAAAGTCATATATTTATTTTGTAAGCATTTTTTTATTGATTTAAATCGAAAATTGAATCATTAAGGACCAAAATCGATTAAAAAAATCTTATTAATTTAGCATATTTAAAAAATGAAAACCAATAGATCGAATTGATAATATATAAAAGCAAACTAAACCGATCAATGCACTTAAAATTTATTTATTGATTAAATTATTTGTAAAAGTGTATTCTTTTATTTGAAAAATTATTTATTTTAGATGTATAATATTGTAAAATCTTGTCATATTTTTAAAATTTTGTGTGTAATTATATTACGTCGCATAAATTAAAACAAAAAAAATGTAGGAGTGAGCATGTGTTTATTGGTTTGGTTAAATACAATGTTGTGAGCCTAGAGTTGGAGGGAAAAAATTGAGTTAATGCTCACTGCAAGAATAATTTCTTTTAGCTGTTATTTAGTGGAGAGTAGTATTCAAACTCTTTTCACTCAGGATTGTTTGGTGCGGATTATAACATAAAAAATAGTCATGAGATTAAATTATTGTGTCACTTAATTTGTTTGATTGGTAAGTTTGGGATAATTTATCTCCAGATTAATAATGAATATCGGAATAAGTATCTCTCCCCTTGGATGGTATATAAAATAGGTAAATGTCAAAAATATTCGTTTAATCCTTTTTATTCATTACTTTTCATATTCATAAAGGATATTTTTGTAAACAGATAACTTATTCTTAAAATTTATGCAATGCATATTATTTTGAATACAACAAACCAAACACTCAATAACAAATAATTTCAACATAACTTATCATATTATAGCTAATCACATCGTAATCTCATCATAACTTGTATTCAAACCAAACGACTCCTAAAAAATTTTATTTGTAATTTCATTGAACAACATGATTAATTAAAAGTTGGTGATTATCTCCAGATTATATTATTATATATAATCTAATAAATATTACTTTATCTTAATTTATATGTGTCTTGTTTGTTTGTTTTTGGTTTATTTTTTTAAAAAAAAGAGTGTTTCTTTTCATAGTTTATATATCCTCCAATTCAAGTACTTTATATGAAAATAATGTGTATTAATAAAAGAGTATATATAAACAGAAATAATCGTAGGATAGATAAATTTCAAAAAAAAATCATATATTACTTATTCACCATATCATATTCTTTGTATATGATTTAATCTTTACATAACAATTCCTATATTATTAATTCTTATACAGATAATTTATGCATAACTAATATATCAAACCAAATGGTTGTTGAATGTATAAGGTTGTACATACACTTCTATCACTTATTCATAGTTAACAAATGATAATACTATTTAATTAAATTATTAATCATAATAATCCAAAATAATTTATAAAGAATAGTTGAATTTTTTACATTTAGAAAAGAAAAACATTAATTTGTTCTTGATGGCTTTCTTCTACTATTATTATCATAACTATTTTGGGCTATACTGAATTTGTTAAAGTAATACCTTATGTTGTTCATGATCCAATGATGCCTTATTAGTTACCCAGCAAGCAAAGAATTGGAAATTTAGTAGTTTAATACTAAAATGCTAAGAGGTATATTAGAATTTCTAAAAAGCAATATATTATGATATTCATGACTCAATTATGTTTTATTTAATATTATTTCACTTGCTCTAGTATTTGCATATTTTCATGAATGAAATATTATCCAACATCACCATTTTGGATGTATTAATGATTTTGCCTTTTTCTTTCATGTACTTTATATGAATAAGTTCTTATTGAAATATCTAAAAATAATTTGTTTTGATAAAGAACATTTTTTTAAAAAGGATCTAATCAAATATAAATTTGAACAAAAAAAAAGTAAAGTAAAGCTAGTGTTGATGTGATGGTTAGGGGCGTCAAATAAAGCTTGAGTTGAATTTAATCGGGTTAAAAATATTAATAAATGGGTGGATTAATATTGCAATAAAAAATTATTTGGACAAAAATTGATTAAGCTTAAAATGAACTAAAATAATGGGCCCTAATCGACACCCCACGCCACCCCAAGCACACACACCTTCTTTCAAAATTTAATCAAGTTTTAATTTTTAATTTTTTATTATGACTATAATAACGTATCAAAATCAAAGAGAAAATTTTGATAGAATTGTGCCTATTTGAAAGATGGGCGATTAGTTCAAAAATCTAATCTATATAATAGGCAATAATATTAAATTTATAATATTGAAAGAACCCTCAATTCCCTTTTTCATATGCAATCGGTAATTTTTTGAGATTCCCTTTGCATGTTTCTTCCTCTCTGTTTTAGTCAATTCATATCATTCACAGTAATTTTTAGCAATGCAAACAATAATAAATCAAGGACATAAAATATTTTTAGCGAAATCTCCAACAAATGAAGTTTGATTCATTAAAATTATTCAATTTGATTATTTCTTTCGGATTCCAACATTGGAAATAATTTTTTCATTGCAAAATAACTCTTAAAAAATGTTAGAAATATTTTTTTAAAAACAGCAAAGAAACTAAGGCCCTAATGCATGAAAAAACACTATTTTTCAAAAGTTATTGTCTATATAATCTTTAGAAATTACTAATAATTCTCTATAAAATACACTAAAACCTAAAAGACACATGTAAAATTGAATGCGCTTATTTTAGGTTGTTTTTGTATGTAGAGAAATTGAAAAGGAGACTATTCATGTAGAACTTTACAAGATATATTATTTATTATTATTTAAAAAATGTTATTTTATAAAAAAGTTGACATACTAATCTAAAATTTAAATACATAAAAACTACTCTAATTAAAATACGAAATAAAACTCTCACATAATTGATAAACTGTCATAACAGTTGGACACTTCAACTTAAGTATCCACCAATCTAAAAAAAATGACATCTTTTAACTTAAAAGAGAATGTATTAAAAAGAAAATGATTTTTACAAGAGTAATTCTTTGTCAGAGTTTTTACACAAAGGAGGTGACAGACATAAAAAGTTTGGAATGGAAAGAACATTTTAAAAGTTATATTCCCTTATTTCTAAACACTCCTTATTGTTATTAAAAATACTTATTATTTTAAAATTTTGAAATAAAATTAATTATTTTTTTATTTTTATCTTATTTACAAACACTTTAAGTATAACACACAAATTTAATAAAATAGTATATAAAATAAAAATTAAATACACAATAAATATTTTGAAACAGAGAAAACATCAATTGTCATGGCTTATGATAATTTACCCAAAATAGAACATAAAAGCAGGTGGTATTGTTAATTCTCTTTGCTTTTTCCATATTAAAAAATTATATTTAAGTTGATGATTTGGA